AAGAATTTGAACTGCACTTCTTTCTTGGCTAGCTAAAAAGCATTAAGAATATTTTTCTTGAAAAATTTCACTTTCACCCGAAAATACACATCGAAGGTTTTATACTCCTTTATAGCCTTAATTCATAACTCCTTCTCTTTTTTGTCTAGAGCCTTCAACTCAGACCTTAGCCTTGTAATTTCAACCTGAACATCATTTAGTTTCAGCTCGACCTGTACTTTCATCGATTCGATTGAGGCCATGTCCACTGAAATAGCCTCTAACTTCGTTACTAAATCATCTACTTTCCTCTTTATCTCTGCATCTTTATAAAAAGTAGTAAGGCTTGATCTAACATTGTCTAATGCTTTTAAGCTTTTTTTGTACACCTTAGTAAAGACACCGATATCTTTTTCAGCCCTTAGCATATGTCTTATTATAAAATAAGCATAATAGAGGGCTCGACTGCTGTTCTCCATAAGTTGAGGTAGGAACTTCTTTTGGACTGTAAGAAAAGACCTTAGACTTAAAAAAATAAAAATAAAAATAATAGAAAGAAACTAAGCTGAGGTTAAAAGATACTCACTAAGAGAAAAAACTGTGACTTTACAGAACTTTCTAGCAACATCAGGGTCAGAGATGGTGTCATCTATCAGAGCAAACTCCAACCTAACAATTTTTTTTTTTTGAGCTAGGTTTTAGCACCTTTACTTCAAAGTTTTCAGGAAGATTGGATAACACATTCACCCATGGTCTTTTAGTTAGAGGAGTGGCATCGACGCTTACATTGGGGAACATAGGGTATAGTTATGCTAACTACCTTATCTTTACCATGTGATTGGGCCTTGAGCTAAATTTTTTTTCTTTCTTGGGCCTTAAGGCATGTTGATATAGGTCAACGTTGAAGTCTTCCCTAGCTTGAGCCATATTTGCAAAATCAAGCTAATAGTTAGATAAAAAATCAGCTCAAAATAAAACTCAATAAGATTACCTCAAACTTACCCTAATACTTTGTACTGTTTATTACTTTCAGAGAGATCAACCTATAAGCATCAATAATGATCTCTTTTTTACATGTAAAATCTAAAATTTTATCATGATTTAACATATTAAGGATAAAAGGGCCATCGTTGTGTCCACAAAAAAATTGAATATACTCTTTATTTTTCAAGCCTCGACCTTGGGTTCACCATCTTTATTGGTCTTCTACTTTTCAAGATATAAGAATAGCAGTTTCTAATTTTTTATTGAGCTCAGATGATCAACAAGAATTTTTTAATTTGGTTGAGCTGTGATATAAAATCACCTATCAGTAGGATGTTTTTTTAAGAGAAAAGAACTCCTTGAATAGAGAGAGATGGAAGAATATTTAAATGTTGACACAAAATGATAAAAAAGACTATGTACTGAACAGAATTAAGAGTGAACTAAATAATTGTTAAATTATAAGAATTAAAAATTTAATGAATAAAAATTAAGTCAAAACCTTAAACCGGCCACGAACGAATCCTAATACACATATAGTCGATATGGCTCTAGCCTATCAGTGATCCAGTCTGAAGAGTTTAATATTATTATACTATATCTCTCTTTAGGAAAAAAATGGTACTCGGAGCTTGAATGTGATAAGCCGAGCATATGTTGGGATAGTTTTCAAGATTTACTTTACCTTCTAGCTTACTTATCACATCCTTGAGGATCACGTCGAGGGCATATGAAGTATATATAATGACCTCGATGAGTTTGTCCTACTCTACAAAACTCTTCCCTTTGTAATCACTTTCTTAGATCAAGGTACTTTTTTTTCTTATTTCTCATCGAAACCTTCCTTATTAGAAGAATCTAATTTTAAAGTGAAAGATGGATCCTATGAAAGAACAGTGGATGAAAGTAGCTTGATTTCAAAAAAAAAGAGACGAGGTGAAGACCTCTTAGGAGAGGGCGAGATGTCAAGAAAAACTAATTAAGAGAGGAGAGTAGAAGTGACAAAAAATGGAAAAGATTGAACCTAGAAGAGGGAATACCTTAAGAGAAAGGAAGGTCAACCATAAAAGATGGATCAACTTGAGAGATGAGAACAGTAGGTGAATTTTAAAGTTCTAAGTTGATCTAAGCACATAGCTCTTCAGTACTCAAAACTCACTCACCTCTTGCTTGAGCATTCTCTTCATTATGTCGCTGTCTTTCCTCAGACATTGGATTGAACTAATATGCTCTCTTTATATAGTTGTGGCCTCCAATAGCAAAGGGGATCAGGTTGTTATTCTACTACTCTTACTGACCTCTTTGGCTCAACCCCTTTAAAACTTATACTAGAAGACATGGTTAGAAATACGTACTGAAGCCATTGTAGAAAAAACTTAAAAGATAAAAAAGTTATAGAGATCGAAAATTTTAGGTTAGATTAAGAGCAAATAAAGTAAAAAATAGAAATCTGAAGCCCCATCAGTCCTTTTGTATAGACTAGCTTCAACTAAAAAGAATGGCACGATCTTCGCCATGTGTCATAGCAATGACGGGTAGATTTTTTTTCATTTTTTTACTTTAAATCCCTTATTTAAACCATCTCTTTTTTCATTTAATGTTGTTAGGTCAGCCTAATCAAACGAACCCCAAATCAGACTAGCCATACTAGATAATTATCAAGGGTAAACCAAGAATCCAGTTCACTTTCAAGGTTCAAAATAGAGATTCAAGTTCAAATTTTTGAAAGAAAACATGAGTCTTAACACTACCATACAAACTCCAGCTATTTTCTCGGATCATCTCAAACAATTATCACTTCGATAACCTTTAAATCGATTATGCACTCATATCAAAACGTATATACAAGATCAGATAACTGTCATGTCAAACAATGACTCAAAGCTTGTTGTCGTTTAGAGCTGACCTTTCCCTGTAACGTCGACCTTTGATGAAATATACAACTATTTACCCCACACTAGGGATGTTGGTAACAAATTCAGCAATCTGATGCTTAGACCACTTGATAGGGGGACAAAATATTAGGGACATATAATGGTTAAAAGGGTATAGTGATCTTTTTTTCTCTTTCAATCTTCAGCAGACAATCGGTGGTATCTTGGTCATTTGTGCCGACTTGACATGTTAGGCCGATCTGACATCTCTAGTGCCACTTCAACTCGACCCTGTCCCAATTGTCCCTTATTTGTCCCTCCCAGCTTACCTATAAATATGGAGACTCAAATGCCATGAAGTCAAATTCATCTAACTCATAGTTTTCTCTCTTTCTTATTTTCTCACTCCATTTTCGACTTGATTTTTATTGACTTATGCGTCAGAATGTAAATGTAGGAATACCTCCTGTCTTTACCTCTAATTGTCTTTTTCTTCTGCATTTATAAAAATACCCTTAGGTTGGTGCTCGGCACCAACACCTTCATACTTGCATTTTTCTCTCGATTGAGTTTTTGCTTTTATGTTAACTATTTTCCCTTTTTAATTAGGGTTTTGATGTTCTATCTCGTTTCTTGTTGCTGTCTAGTTACACCCAATGCCTTGTGTGTTTATTCTCGTGAAAACCTTAAGCTGTATTGTGCTGCTGCCATGGATCACTACAATTATAAAATGGTTAACTTGATTAGGATGTTTATCTATTAATTTTTCAGCATCATCACTGGCCTTTAACGAAAACAAATTAAAAACATTACTGTTTTCTTTCAGAAAGTAGAGTATCAGTTTCTGAGGTTGGAAAAAGCAAATGTGCAAGGTGTCCCGGGTCCTTTTTACTGTTTAACCTTTGTTGGAAGGATTGCTAAAACTAACACTACTCAGGTCTTTGAAGATCGCGTTTTGAGGGATTCCTGAAAACATAGGAGATGATTCCACGGTGGTCTACTTTTGTAGGGAAAAGGCTCTATTTTTATAATAATAATATTATTATTATAATGTAATATTATTAAATTATAATATGATTAAACTAAAATATAATTTTTAATATAATTTAAATATAATCAAATAGAATGACTAAAATATAATCGAATAGAATTATATTATTTTATTCTTAATTATTATATTCTATTAATATCAAATTGAATATTAGATTGAATCCAACAGGTAATAACATCAATTTTGTTATCCTTTTTCCATAATTATAGTTTGGTTTAGGAAATTGATCTTGTTATGTGTAAATAATTTATTGTTTGTTTATATATATATATATATATTTATATTTGTTTGAATTTCGAATTGGATAAAAAGCCTTTAGCTTAACATGTATGTCCACGTGAAAAAAAAAATTGAGCTCGTTAAATTTTGGGTTGAAAAAACAATTGATCAACAAACAAACATCCTAACAATAAATTACTCAAAAATGTAATATGAACAAAAATTTTGAGGTGAAACTTTATTAACAACTTGTTATATATTAAATAAAACTCTTAACAAATAATAAAAAATAATCTTATATGAGTAACGGAAGAAAAGAAAATCAAACTTAATTATTTAAAGGTTTGAAGATATAAAGTTATAGTTAAAATTTCAAAATTAAAAAAAAAAAAAAAGTAAAAGTAAAAGAGAAATAGAATACATAATTATAAAATATGTACAAAATAATAAAACATATAGGTTCATAATTATTGAATGAATGATTCAATTTTAGTTAACACTATTTTTTTATTAATATACATCATGTGAATTATGAGTAATATATTCATAATTATACCTACAAATATATGTAGTCGCTGTCCAAAATTCTAATATATTCTGTACAGGGAAAGTAAAAATAAATTGTTTAAAAGAATCTCCTAAAAACAAATGAATTATATTTTTACCTTACTATAAAAAAATCAAAGAAATACAAAGCTTCTGCGAAGCTTCCTTGACGATTGACCTAAGCCAAAATTAGTAGTACATAGACCTTCTGTTTACCCACTTCTACGCGATTTTGATAGTGCAAAACAACTTCTGTTTAAGAAAAATAGTATGAAAAAATGACATTAATTGACTTTTGTCACCAATTTACCTAACATTGACATTGACTCATGCATGCAATGAAAAGGATGGGTCTTTGTTCATTGTTCTTAAACTCTGCTAGGAGGAATATCTTGGAATTAAATGACACAGTGTTTCCTTTCAAATAATGTCTTCAATCTTATCATTGGTTTTGGTTAAATTTAACTTGATGATGTTTGTGACATTAAGTAATCAATTTTTTTACCGTACCTTAGAATCATCTTTGTTGGCTTTCTCTCAAATATTTTTATAGGCTAAAAGACCTTCTTGCTACATTGGTCTTTTAAAAATATATATCATATCACATTTTTATAATGTTTTTTAATTTGCCTTTTTATAAGTAATTTGATCTCAAATTTTTAGCACAACATTTATCACATAGAAAATTGAACACATTGTTACCACTTTTTTATTTTAATTCTACGTGATAACTTTTTTTTTTTTTATCTATTCAATTTTTCAATAGTTTCCATTAATAAAGGTAAGAATTAAACACGATCGATCAATGTCCAAACTTGAAAAAAATAAAAATTTCCCATGCCATCATAAAATTTTTTTAAAAAAATTGCTCTTATGGTATCACTCAAAGACTCAAAGTTTCTATATCGATAATAAAAATTTCAATAATAAAGAATTGTATTGGATTTTAGTGAAATAGGTAATACAATCCACACAAATATCTTTTCCTGAATAAGTAACAAAAAATGAAAAAAAATTCTAATTGGTGCATCCTCAAATCTCTATAACTAGTTCTTGATTTTAAAATAATTTTAATATTTAGGTGTATTAACTTTACGGAAGTTTCATTTATAATAAAAAGCTATATTTACAAAAATAATAGTCCTTAGAAAAAAAGATTATTTGAAGTTATCATATAAATAAAAATGATCAAGTCGGTAAAAATAATTACATTCATACAAGAATCCATGCAACTTGCATGAGCAAATGACTCGGCAATTAATGTAAAGATTGTCCAACACATGAAAGGGATATCATCAATCCAATGGTCAAGCATTCACAATGTATCTTGAGATAAATGGACAAAATTCATAGTGGCTTAGAAAAAAAGAACTACTTTTGCTTACATGCAATGCGACATTATGCGGCATGCAAAGCCAACCTAGAAGAAACGTTAGGATAGCTTGTAAAAGTCGGCTTCTAAAATTCTGATGATGAAAATGACAGGAGACTTGGACTAAGACTTTGGACGCACAATCAACCTAAACATGCCAACTGCTGTGTCTTCTTCTGTTTTTTTCCCAATAAAAACCCTACACGTTTCTGTAAAGGTTCAGACTTTCTCTTTTGCTCATATCTTTTTTTCTCCTTCTCTTTACTTGTAGAATGGATGCTGGAGATGAACCAGGACAGCTCCTCCTTTCATCCAAAACATCGGTAAGCTCAAAAACTTAGATTTTTAGTGTTGAAAATAATTCAATGCATATAATCTAATTCTCATTTAAAGCAACAATAAAAATCTATTGCAGTTTTATAAATTATATTTTATTCTTTTCAGCTTCCACCAATTAGAATCCCACCCGATTACCCACAAAGAGTTGATTGGAGAGAGAAGAAGGGAGCAGACCAAGTGTTGAACCCAGTGAGAAACCAAAAGGCTTGTCGTAAGTTAGTTTATAAACTATTTAATTTGCTTAATTTACATACTTTGCAAAATGTATATATGAAGTATTAATCTGAGTTTTTCATTTGATCTTTAAGAGGCATGTTGGGCTCTGGTCACTGTTGTGGTGCTTGAGAGTGTGAGAAAAATACGATTTGAACAAGAAGAATTGAAACTTTTGTCTCCACAAATGCTCATTGACTGCGTTTGCGAAGATCCTCCAGCGGATAAAATAGATACTAAGACTGGATGTTATCCCTATGCTGTCAACAAGGCCTTTGACTGGTTGATAAAAAACTCGGTACAATCTGAAGCTGATTACCCTTATGTTGCCACGAGAGGAAAGTGCTTACATGTTGCAGTGGTATAAAATATAAATTGTTAATTTCTTTATTGAGATATAAGTTTATCATTTTTTAATATTTTTCTTGATTATTTCAGCCTAAAGAAAGTTTGAAGATAAAAAAATATGTAAAGATAAAAGGTCATGAGCGGACAAGACTTCTTAAACATGTTGCTCGGCATCCTCTAGCAGCAGTTATTGAGATTACTAAGGAAATTTTGACTCTAAATGATGTAAGATGTAGACAATTTAATCCATTCCTTTTCATGAGTATTCTTTTTTCATGTTATTTATTATAACATTTCAATAAGTATATCAATTGTTTCAGCAAGTTTATGAAGGCCTTGCTATGAAACCTCAAGAAGATCCACCGAGACATGCTGTTGTTATTATCGGGTATGGTAAAGATGAGGAGACTGGCAAAAACTATTGGTTGATTCAGAGCTCGTGGGGAGATGAATGGGCAATTGGAGGAGTGGGAAAAGTGGCCAGAGATGTCAAGGCAAATGGTAAGTATTTACTAAGACGGATGTCCTATCCCGTATTTGAGGATGATGAGCCCCTCACAACTTCAAACCAAGTTCAGCCCCTACAAAAACAAACTTAGAAGAAGAAAATGAAAGAAAAAAAGGCGATATTTTGCAGAAAACATTGTTGTCTGTCTTGAAATTGGTGATATTTTGGCGAAAGCTTTTGTTATTTGACTTGCTTTTTTTTCTTTCTACAGTTGAGATGAGGGGTCTCTTTCCTTAGCAACTCAGTCATTATGTCAGTCAACATGCTATATTTGAAGGAATTTTATAAATCATGTAGAGAGTAATTAGTGCTTGCAATCAGACCCTAAAATAATTAAGGTGCTAATTACAGGTTTTATGAGCTTGGATTTGGGTCAGATTTATACTTATTAATAGTTTATATATTTGTCAAAGTTCGATTGAGCCTAAAATTTTTTATCTTAAAATTTTTTGAAGCTTAGTTTAAATTAAAAAAAAAAAAAAAACTCAAACCCATCAATTAAATTTAAAAAATATAATAAAAATTTAAAAAAATTATTAAATTAAGTTTAATAAAATTATATTCAATTCACATATATATAAATTAAAAATAAAAATTATACAAAGTAAAAATTAAGTTTAACAAAATATATATAATTTTTAATTTTAATTTATGTATAATTCATATATATAAATTTATCTATATGTGAATTTGGTTTAGATCGAATCAAATTTAGATTTTAAATCTTTATTTTTAAATTCAAGTTGAAATTTAAATAAATTTAAAAATTATGTCTAAACCGATTTAATATATTTTAATTTTTTATTCAAATTCTCTCAAAATTTGAATGGATTATTGGGTTTAGACGAATAACTCAATTTTTGAACAGGTTTAGAGCTAATCCCTAAATTAATCCTTGCAATCTGATAAAGAAGGCACGTTCTTGATATTAACAAATAACCTAAAAGATTAAAGAAAAAAACGAAATTCCACTATATTTAACTAAGCTGAGTATAGGAACTTTTCTGGGGTTTTCATGGCTAAATCATTCCTAGAAGGAGCTCAAGATTGGTAGTCAGTCAACAACCGAAGTTTTAGATGAGTTAAAAAATATTTCATAAATATCAAACTTATAAATCGAAGTTTTAGATGGCCAAATCGTTTTTATTTGTTTTTGATAATTTTTTTGAAGTTTAAAACTAAAAAAAATTTCTGATTTTTATCTAACTTATATTTTATAGCAATAGAAGAGTCAGTTAACAGCACAGACTCTATAGAACTGGTTCTATCTTTTTTATTTAAAGCGTTGAAGATGTTTGTTTTCTTAAAAAAAAATCAGTCTTGTATAAAAAGTCAAAATCATCGTTTCCTTCTGTTTCCCCAGCCACGAAGGAAACGCAAAAAAATCCACCGGTTCCTACGTGTACTGCTTTGACAACGGACTTCTAGATTTTAATTTGAATACAAGGCCGGAAATAAGTGAGAATAAAATATTTATTAATTTAATGGTGAAATTATAAAATAATAAAGTTGTTATTATTTTTCATAATTAGATTTATAAAGTTTTTCTTCCAATCAAGTAAAGTTTTTTGCCACATAGATGCATGTGACTGCAAGTTAACTATATCATAACCTATACTTATAAGTAGAATAATAAAATAATTTGTATCTAATGAATTTTGATCGATTTTAATTTAATAAGATCAAAATTTTTTAAAACAAAAAGATAAGATCAAAGATGAATTGAGTTTTTTCTCCTTAAATTGGGTTCAAATTGAGTAGAATTTTATAGTACTGATTCAACCTGATTTAATTATATATAAAAATATATTTTTATGATTTATTTAATTTTATAGTTTTACATATATATTATATTAATAAAATTGATTATTATTTAATATTTTAACTTAAAAATTAATTTAATAAAAATATTATATTTATATATAAGTAAAATATAATTTATATTAAAAATAAGATTTTATGAATATTGTACTAAAATAAAATTATTAAATAAAATTTGAAACAAATCGAATTGATTGAGATTAACAAATAAATTGAATAACTTTTCGTATTATAACTGTGTTATATTGCTCACATACTAAAACAATTTTGAAAAAGAGAGCAAAAGCTTCAACTTGTAAGAAAATACTTTAATTATATTTGTTTTACGATGGATGTGTAAGGAAGTCTCACAGACTCTCAGGTATCAAACTTTCAACCATCCCAAGTAACAAAATCGTACCAAGTCCTAATTCATCGTCGTTTCTTTTTTTTTTTTTTTTTTTCCTTATTTTTTCTCTCATTTGCAGCTTCATTCCGCGGTCCCATGATCTGAGTACTTATCTATCTCATCCTTTTGCTTCTCTTTCTTTCCATTAGCACCATTCCTCCATCTCCTCTAAAATATCTCATCCACTTTTCATTAATCACTTTTACCCTTATCTAATAAACCTTAAAATATTTATATTCCCATTAACTAATAAAGATAATTCTTTTAATATCCTGAAAAGGACAAATATCAATAATATATGTGTAATGCAGTTCATTTTCTATTAATGATAATAGAATTTAAAAAATGCTATATTTCAAGTTTTCATAAAACAAATGATAAGAGTATTATAATAATTTAATATGTAATAAAGTTTTGTATAATTAATTTAATATATAATTTAATAAAAATATTATAATAATTTAAAAATACATACCACGTGTCAAGTTTTCATAAAATAAATGATAAAGATGTTATAATAATTTAATAAGTTTTAAATAGTTAATTTAATATATAATTTAATAAAGTATTATAATAATTTTCAAAAATAATACCACATGCCAAGTTTTTGTGAATCAAATGAAAAGTATTATAATAATTTAATATGTAATTAATTTTATATTATATATAGACATTATTATTTAATAAAACTAAAGTATTAAGAAAGCTAATCGAAAGCTTTATCCTTAAAAAAGGTAAAAAGCCTGCAGCCGTATAAAAATCATTTAATTGGTTTTATTATTATTATAACGTATAAATCCGAAAATTTAATCACTAAACATAAAATTTATAAGTTATTAACAAATTTTTTTATTTAAGAGCGATTACCATCTAATGAATCTATTTTATTTTTAAAAGATTTTAAATTTGATTCAAGTTTTTTTAAAAAATAAATTTTTATTTATTAAATTAAGTAAGGTCCAAAAGTATGATTATGTGTAGGAAATGTTATACCACCCCTTAATGTCCATACAAAAGATTTTATTAGTTGATTTTGTATTATCCAAAACCTAAAAATATTTTTAAAAATTTAATATTAAAATTTTTTTAAAAATTATTTTAATATATTAGTAAAAATTTAATAATATTATCTCATTTCAAGAACATTCAAAGAGATTATTTATCACTCATAAAAAGGTCATGTTTTCGAATTTATTTTCAAAAATTTTTTAAGTCAATAAAATCTTTTTATGGTAAAGTATGATTTTATTTCCCATATAAGATCCTCCAGTATATTGATAAGAATTTTCTCAAAATTAATTTTTAAAGTCCATGAAAATCTTTTAATATATTGGTAGGATTTTATAAATTTAATTTCAAATTTTTTTGTGAACTTATAACATCTTTTAATAATTTGATATGATTAATCTTAAAAATTATTTTTAAACCCATCAAATCATTTTATAGTTTGATAAGATTTATGAATTTAATTTCTAAAATTTTCTATAAATATTCATAAAATCATCTAATATATTGGTAAAATTTTATTTCAAAATTATTTTCAACTCATAAAAATTTATATTATCTATATAGGCATATAATTTTATATTATATTATATATATAGAGATTATTATTTAATAAAACTAAAGTATTAAGAAGGCTAATGGAAAGCTTTATCCTTAAAAAAGGTAAAAAGCCTACAGCCGTATAATAATCATTTAATTGATTTTATAAATAAATAATTATTATTGCTGTTATAATGTATAAATCTGAAAATTCAATCATTAGACGCAAAATTTATGAGTCGTCATCAAACTTTTTTATTTAAGAAAGATTACAACCTAATGAATCTATTTCATTTTAAAAAGATTTTAAATTTGATTCAAGTTCTTTAAAAAAGTAAATTCTAATTTATGAACTAGGTAAGATCCAAAGTATAGTTATATGTAAGGAATGTTATATCACCCTACAATGTTTATCCAAAAGATTTTATCAATTGATTTTGTATTATCCAAAACTTAAAAATATTTTTAAAATATTTTCAATCATTTAATATTAAAAATTATTCTTAAATTATTTCAATATATCGGTAAAAATTTAACAATATTATCTCATTTCAAGAACATTCAAAGAGATTATTTGTCACTCATAAAGGGTATCGTTTTCGGAATTTATTTTTCAAAAATCTTTTAAATAAATAAAATCTTCTAATAGTTAAGTAAGTTTTTATTTCCCATATAATATCCTCCAATATATTGATAAGAATTTTTTCAAAATTAATTTTTAAAGTCAAAAATCTTTTAATATATTGGTAAGATTTTATAAATTTAATTTCAAAATTTTTTTATAAACTTATAAAATCTTTTAATAATTTGATAGGTTCTCATGAATTTAACCTTAAAATTTTTTTAAATCCATCAAATCATTTTATAGTTTGGTAAGATTTATGAATTTAATTTTTAAAATTTTCTTTAAATATTCATAAAATCATCTAATATATTGTTAAAATTTTATTTCAAAACTATTTTCAACTCATAAAAATTATCCAATTTGTTGCTAGGAAATTTTTAATTTATTTTCCAAAATTTATTTTTTAAAACACAATATCTTTTAATATGTTAGTAAGATTTTACAACTTTTTTCAAAAATCAATTTTTAAAATTATAAAATATTTTAATATGTTGATAATGTTTTACAATTTAGTTTTTAATTTTTTATTTAAAATATTAAATCAAATAATAAATAAATATATAAATAAAGTACAAAAAATATACAAAAACTACCAAAACAAATTTGCTTCCTGCTTGGCTCAGGAAGCAGTTTGACATGGCTCATGATTGGTCTAGCAGCTTGGAGCTTGACGGCTCAGCTCAAAGCTTGGGATCAGCCTGGCTTGAGGGGGAGTAGATCGCGGTAGTTGCGATCGGGTCATGTCGCTCCATTGTTGACGCGCAAATCCTGGGTGTTAGCTAGAGATCAAAAACAACACCGTTTTCCAATTACCATAAAAGCCTCTGTTAAGAACCTTCCCCTTTTTTTTTTTGCCAT